TTGTAAAAAAACGCGCCCGTGTAAGCGAACATTTGTTATTGTTTTTGTGGTTTCGATCGACTCCTGAAGTTGATCCGCACATGTTTTGGTACGGCCTCTATAATGGGCGCGACTTTTCAACGGAACGTCATTTGGCCGCGATGCTTTGACGCGCGATTGGTGAAACGGTGAAAAGCGTGCACGTATACCGGGTGTACAGGAAGCAGGAAACGGCGTTCACTCGTTGTCCTGGGTGGAAAGGAAAACAAAAATCCGGCAGGCTCTGTCACACGAAGTTTTCCCCCCTTTGAAAAGTCTTTCTTTGGCCGATCGTGGCGCGGTCTCCAATTAACGCTTTCCGCGCTGTCAAAAGAACCGACGGCGCGCTATAAAGTGGATTAAAGCGTGCTCCGTTTGCTACCGCCTTTTACAACATTTACCAAACGCGAACCTACGTGTCGCGCTCCTCGTGCTTGCTCCCGATGCCGACTACGCGTTTTCAATTCTCGTCCCTCCTAGATCCACCAGCGCGTACAAATTTTCTAGATCTCTGATTTGCAGCCTCCGGAGTTGGGAGAATCCAAGGGACGAATAAATCGCCAAGTTTGATTTACGAATAACGAATAAATTCTCTTGGTTCACTCACGAATAACGAATAACTGTTTCATTCGACGAGGTGTTGTTTGATTCTCGACAATATATTTATTATATTACTGGATTCAGATTTATTCAAACAGGGATTAATAATTCAGTACGCAGTGTTATTCTTCTTTATAAAATTTATTCGCAGCCTCCCAAAGCCAATGCTTTGATCCAGCCCTGGCTTCTATCCTTTCCAGTCCACATTCGATCGGCTTAAACGCAAAAAACGATTCCGTCCAGCTTTGGATAGTACGCCGTACCACGCATATCGCCCGGTTTAATTACATTTAATGAGACAGAAACGTTTGTGCGTTTCAATTGCGATTCGTGCGCGCCTTTTCTTTGCCACCTGCGTAACGCTCGCGGCAGGTTCAGGCCGTTAACTGACTTTTCGACGTTCGCGGGTCTTTAATTCCTTTGAAGTGTATGAGTGGTAGAATTCAAAGTCCCCCGTGTTTGAACGTTCTTAGCGACTTTAATTAAGCGTTTTTTAAATGGCAGAGAAACGAGTTCAAAGCAACGTTTTCGTTAGATCGCAAAGTAGACGTGACGATTCTTGAATCTCGCGCGAAACGCTTTTAACTACTCCCCTGTCAACTTTTTTTTTTTTTTTTTTTTTTTTTTTAGTGGACTCGATGCAACATTTTCTTACTTAACTTCAAAGATACTCAGAGATGGTCTGAGGTATATTTAAAAATTTCTGTTTTAAATATTACATGCCTCCTTTAGGTTGTAATATTATTTCATATTTTTGCAAAGATAATTCGTAGTTTAACCTTTTATCGCATAAGCTCACAAATAATCATTTGCCAGTGGACTCCCCTTTCCAAATCAGATTAGCCCGAGTTCTGACGTCGCGAAGCAAAGGGTTGAAAGTAGAAATTGCAGTAGACGAGGTATATAAAAGGGTGCGTACGAAACTAAAAAGATATAAATAAAAGGAGCTGGCTGCACGTTGGACTAACAAGACTCAGGACTCGGGGGCTATTATCATAATTGTGGGCTGCAGGCAGCGGCTGTGCCCACAAACCAGAATGCCTCTTGTCTCATCTACCTTCGTTTCCTCCTTCTTTCCAGCGTTCCTCCACCTCTACCGCCACCTCTTCGTCTTCTTCTTCCACCGCCAGTTCTTCTTCGAGTCTTTTTACTCAAACCCTCTCGTACTCTCGCATTTTGCACGTCTCTTCGCTGGTCTTTTGCACGTGCTAGAGACAAATGGATCGACCCCCCAGGGCATTTAACTTCCACGAGGCGTATTTCCATTTAGATTAAAAAGCTTATGCGATATTTTAAGGATTCTTGGCGAAACGAGATAAAGTTTGACCACGGGTATCTACCTATCCGAGAATTTGTGAGCTTTTCGCTCTGAAGCTATTGTTTATCAAAGTACAAATGGAACTTATGATATCCGTGCTTCGCAATAAGGAAAGCGACGTCTTAGCAATATCTCTAGGACTGTCGAGCGGAATGCATGCGTCTATAGTTGCAGAGTCTATTCGGAAACAATGGCGAAATCCAAGATGTAATGTCCGTCGAGCATCGTTCCATTCTCTCGTATTTTTACTTTCCTTGATTACATGGCGGACTCTAAGATCCTTCCAAACTATCCATGCGCATTTCGGCTCTCATCCTAAGGAACGACCCAGCGATACGTCCAAGTCGACGTCAAATTGTACAATCCTCTAGATCAAACTTTTTCTAGCGAAGTGCGGGGATTCGAAGTAACTGCGAGTGTTCTGAAATCGCGACAGAAATTCTAAAATATCCTAAAGAAATACATCTGAACAAATTTTATTTTAACGTAGCAAATTAAATAAATTGTAGTTTGAACAAAGATTTCGATTGCTCTCAGGGGCTGTAGCGGTGTTTGTAGCTACAGTACGGGCTTAGCAACCCCGAGATACCCGAGCTAGAGGAGAATAGATGAGAAGTGAGAGATACTGCAAACCGTATTAAAACAATGCAGGAGTCATGTAAGACGTTGATAAGAAGAATGGAAATATGCTAGTGATAAGTAAGCAGTAGTGCAATAACTTGTATAATAAGTCACGCACTTTAAATAAATGAATGAATGAACAGTTTTCAACGAGATTGAGATTCGAAACGGGCTGTGAAAATAATACGTACACGTAAGTGGATCTTAAGCAACGTGTCCCACTTAACTTGAGCACCTTAAATGTCTCTGTTGCTTTTGACGATATGAAAACATAGGAGAAAGTTGCCTGGCTCGAGAGAGCAAACATGCTTAAAAGGATAAATTATGTACACGGAATTATTTTTTGACGTTCGAGTCGTCGGTGTTATTTCTAAACAGAATTTCGTGCTTTTTCTCGAGCGATGCTCCGAAGTCCGTACCAAACATGGATTTAAATGTTAAATCGAAAACTCGATATTTCCAAAATCATAATCCCAAGATTTTTAGAAATCAATTATTTCCTCATGCAAATCAAAGTTCTGGCTGAAGTATTATTAAAAAATTCACCGGTGTACGTCTTGTGGGCGAAGCAAGGGCCCAGTTTTCTGCTCAATCTTTCGGTATCTATCATACTTCACCTCTCCATCCTTTAAGTGGCGTGGCTAAATTGTTTCTTTTCTCCTTTTTTCTTACATTTCTTCTCGTGTGTTCTTTCAACGAGAGATGCCAGGGGCGTGTATGTTTGTTTATCCTCGGTGTACCCTATTATTAGGGTCCGGTGCTCCTCGAAAACCGAATGGCCCACGCGGATATTTGGGCCCCGAGAGACGATCGAGCATCCCCTGGTCCTCTCTCGCTCTTGCCCTCCCGTGTACCTCGATTTTCTTCCTCTCTCCCATCCGAACCACGGCTGACCGCTTTGTTCAGTGCGTAAGAACAGTGCCAGCCGAAAAGGATAGCCGAACAAATCCGTGGAGCGGGGGTTTCTCACTTGGTTCCCTGGCGGGGTCTCCTTTGGCTGCCCCTCTGGACCCTGATTTAGACTCCACCGCATTTTAATTTATCGCCGTTGATCGCGCCGATTATAGAAACGCCTATTCTCGGGGAAGAACACGTTCCTCGGCGCTTGTAATCAGCTAATGCCTTGGCGAATAGACGTACGCCTTCTGCAGAACGATCAACGTCATTCGCACTGGCCAAAACCAGAGATGGAAGGGATTTCGAATCTTTAATTATTTGTTCGATGACGAGGGTGCTAGTTGATAGAATCATGGCGTAGCTAACTAGTCGCGTTAGGGAAAGGATGATGATTTAAAAAGCTTCGGTATTGTTAGATGGAGAATCCAGGTGATAATGAATACTTTGAAGGTGACACGGAACCTTCAGTACCTTGTAACGAAATCAATAGAAACTTCGAAATTATATATTTCGGTGCCCAAAATGTTATTATTTGTAGTTGTAAAGTTACCTATATAGTTCACTGTATCTCTTTCCAATTTGAGCTAATTTTTTTCTTCTACACTCACTTCGTAATTAGAAATAAAAATAACCGATCGTCGTCCACCGCAGTGGACGTTTACACGACTCCCTTTTCTCGGTGGACGTCAGTTTCAGTAGGGTGTCCCGTGGGATCTTCGGTCTCTTCCTCGCACAATGCCGCGCTGATGACATATCCTGCAGGTCCAGCGATTGAATGGTGTCTGTTTGCACGGATGGCACGTGACACAACAGCGTTGGGGACAGCCGCAACCGGCCACGCCCCATCGCGTTATTTGTTTAATTTAACGGTATTGTGACGCGATGTTTTCGTTGGTGAACGCTCGATTTATTTCGTTCGGTGCCCCGTTTCCTGCATTTTTAACGTGGGAGAACCTAACGAGGCGAGGCCGTCCAGTTCACCGGCTGATAGATTACGCGCGGTGTCTTCGTGTGAAAATCTACTGCACGTTTTCATGGGTTTGGTCTGTTGCCGAGACACACGCGACGTTTTGCTGTCGGTGCGTTAAGTACGGATGGTTGGGGTCGGAGATTAATATTCATTGATGATTCAGTGCGTCGTTTAGCCGGAGCTCTGGCGGGGAATAATGTGGGAGACATTTTTGGGAACGCTGAGAGAAAATTGTTTCTGAGCTACTGCCTAGGAGAACTATAATATTAAAGTTATGTAATACTAGTAAGTCGAAATACAAAGTAATAGGTAATTAGTTAGGAGACAGTTAGAAGTAATTTTCTTTTAATAGTTACAAGGAAAAGACAGAATTTTTAGTCGTGTAATTAAGTTTCTGATAATTTAGTTGATTCCATAGCAAAACAAGTTCGGTTACATTTTTTGAACGTCGCTCCACGTCGAAGGGCACAACGACATCTAGTACTTCGGACGAGGGATAAGGTAGAGTAGTATCACCGAGGATATTGTCGAACACACCGTTGCCCGAGGTTGTCTCGGCACAGTTAGTCTCAATTCCCACCACTAGTAGCGCTGGAGTCTTGTTTCAGACTGAGTGGATAACGTTGAAAATGACAGGAAAGTGATAATTTGACTGACGAACTGCTTTACGATAAAATTATAGACGTAGGATAGTTTCATAATTAAAGCTTAATAATTACAGCGATTTTAATTTTCTTTAAATAACAGAAAATTAGTTCTCCCCATCTATTTCGATAAACAAAATTTTATTATCGTACATTCCATTGCTCCTCGGTCCATTACATCGCGTGATAAACAAATAAATAAATAAATAAATAAACATAATGCGAGTTCCACGCCCGTTATTGAACGTGCTAAATAAATACGATCTAATAAATTGCTTGAGAACAATACGCTATAAGTCTTAACATAAATATCATGGGAACGATAACTATTTACGATCACGAAATGAATTGAGCATTCACAATGATTTACGATTTTTAAAACAATCGCTGTCCTAAAAGAAACGTCGTTAACTTATTTTACAACGAAGAAAGACTAAAGATGCCCCGCAGCACATTTCGACGTATTTATTTAATTCCCTTCCGGACAATTCTTTTGATCCGTACGAATGAAGTATGCCCTGCTTATGTTGTTCTTATCAATCACCTGATAAGCTTTTTCCAAAATTGAAACTGGTGGTTTCGGTTCCCTCGTCAGGATCCAAGCGTTCCGCACGCTGTAATTGAATATTCATTTTATTTTCGTGCGAAAATTAGTAAGGATAACTGTTGATTTTTCACTGATTTTTACCTGAATACACCAAAATTTGAACAACTCCAAACAACGGCGTAGGATTTATAGTCTGTGTCGAGTATCCAATATGGCGCGTCGAAAGGCAGTGGCAGGGATGGGAAGGTCACTGTTAACTTAGGATCCTCTGTCCTGCCTATCACCCTTCCAATCCCCTCGATACTAGAAGACACTCCGGTCCTAAATCGAAAATAGAATTGAGAAAATTGAAAAATTTCTTCGATTAAGAGAAGTTCCGTAAACGTTTGAAAAATGAAAAATATTATAGAAACGGTCGACTTTGGAATAAAATCGTACTCACAGTGAAGATATTTGCTTGTTCAAGATTTTTATCAATCCATTTTCACCTTGGCTGTAATTCGCAGTCACGCATTTTCCACCGAATTCAAAAATGGCGAAGTACCTCTCCACTTCGTACCATTTCCCTACATACTGAAAAATACGTTCGTTTCAATAAAAATATACGTTCGATACAATAGTTCATAGGTATAAACACCCCTTTCGACATTTCCTAATAAGACCATTTTTAATTATCAAGTCAAAGAAGTAACCGATTGGTATATTTCAAGAAAATTATATGATGGGTATAATAATTCCTTAAGCGAAAGAAAGATCTCCAATTAGTCTCGTTCTTTATCTTTTACTCGTTACACGAAGCCCTCCATTTAGACAAGAATCTTGGCCATCTCTGCTCGAAGAAAGTCAGAACGAACATCCGTGGAACTTGAACAGTTCACGCGTCCCTCGTTACGTCGAATGTATATCACTGTCCCATTGAGGACAACTTTCTAAATGCAGGTTGCATTACCTCATAAGTAAGTCAATAACACAGGAAAAGGCAGGAAAACCCCTATTCTAGTTTCTAATATTTCTCGCTGCTGCTGAAATAGGAAATATGCGTTAAGTGGTATGCTTACCCTGTTCAGATCGAAGTTCGGCATCGTTTCCAAATTTGGGCATTGGCCTAAAAATGGCACCTGTGCCACTGCCACGCTTACAACTATTAGAAATAGACACCCGCGCAGCATCATCTTCTCTTCTGCAAAATAAATTGCATAGATTAGTACTTGTTCGAAGTATTTGGAGTATTGTACTTTTTTTTGTTATTGATCTCCTCTTGAGGATGCCCTTTTTGTTATTAAATACTAAACTTCATATTTTATATAATAAATAATAAATACTCTGTAATAAATTCCAAGTACTGAAAGTGTTAGGTTTTTATTACTGATTTTTCTTCTGTAGAACCCCTCGTTTCTTAAAGAAATTATGAATCCAGTTCGAACGAGTCACATCAAAGAACATCAAAAGAACAGTTAAGTTTTATTGGACGATGCTGCTGCAGCGATGCAGTCACGATGCAGGTATTTCTTGCATAGTCACCGTTATTTGCAGATATTGGATGAAATAATTCCAAATGATAATACAAATTACACCATTTCGAAACGAGATGGTGACTTTAACGTAAACAACATTCTCCCATAAATTGCGAACTTATTGTGTAAAACTTTGATAAATTCTGGATCGAACTAGTCCGTAATTCATTCATTTTTAGTAATCAACACGCGCTTCCTCGTTACGTACGTAAATCTTGCGGAACATGTTCTCTCATTAAAAGAGACTTTTATATTATTATGGTACAACATTTTACATTTATCCCTTTTTTATGGAAATCAATGCGTGTTACGCTAAGTGAATTTTTTAAATTATTTGTTAGGTGAATACTAATGGCAACAGAAATAGAGATTCTTGAAAAATGAAAATATCCTATGTATTAATTCATTTCGTTTATTTCTTTTTCTGCACCTGTGAAGATACGAATTTCCAGATCATCGAAAGTCAACTTATTACATGCTTTTAATTTTTGCGTACGTTCACCATACTCTATCTCATAAATGCACAAAATCATTTCTATTCCTATACCAAGTACCCCCGAAACCTAACTGATCCGCGCCCCTCTCCCTCATAAATCACCTGTTCGATGTGACAACTGCGAAGATCACGAATCGTATCGATACTGTTATAATACGAAACACGTACCGAATGGATGAACAGTTGTACACACGGTGAACTTGGCAACTCGGGAAACTGTCGTCGGGATGGACTGTGTTACACTTCTCGCGGTGAACTGTCCGCTGGTGACTGGCTTCTTCCTTGTGGCATCCACTAACGCAGACGAACTGTTGAACGCTCAGTGGATGCGTTCGAAAAATTTCATTCAGTTAGTGGGTCAGTAACGGTACGTTCCAAGTTCAAAAAACCCAGCTCCGCGATTCAAATGTACCAGGCGATCAATTCTCTTTTGCGCCGGTTCTTTCGCGGCTGATTTTGATGGGTCAGATGTGGCTTCGTCTAAAACGAGATGAGAATGTGAGCGACGAAATGGTTAACATTCGTTTTCAGGTCATTCTCAATCGATTCTTCGGTATTTGCTATTTTTTAAGAGAGAATTTCTGTCATGGATTCGTATAATCAACAGAATTTTTATATAAAATTACAAAAAAAAAAGAGACAGGATATGTTTCTTGTTGAACTTGTTCTCAATTCGATGGAAAGTACATCTATATTCGTTATTGTCAATCAAATACTCGTTTCTCAAGGATTGTTTTTTATCCCCACTGTTTATATTCACGTGGAACGATTTTTATTGCCCTCAGCTCGGGATAGAGAAATCGTCACCTTCCCCACTTTCAAGTAAAATGGCGTTCCGGATCCTGTTATTCGAAAATGGAAACTATTGAATCACAAATCGATGAAATTTTTAGATACTCGTGGATGGATCAAGGAAACAACAAAAATATAGAATTACGTAAATTATTATAGAAAGTAATACAAAATTAATTGTTATTACTGATAATGAATGGTATGGTCTTCGATATCTTCTAATAAGGTTAGAGAGAGAAATTTCTTGGGCAGAAATTATATTTCTATATATATATATCTCATATTTTGTTATTTCCTATGTTTTCTATATTTCCTAGTACTTCCTACATTTCCTATATTGCTTATATATTCTAAATTTCTTTCAAAATGGTGTCTATTCTAGATTCTTCCCCACTGGCTTCTGCTTCGTGATGCATATTGTTATTATTACAATGAATATAATTATTCAATGAATAAGAGAACTCATTCTAAATAAACATACCACGCAGCACATTCAATAAACACAACTAGGATTCCGTAGCAACGTTTTATATAACAATTTATTAAACTTTTCTTTTCGCGTTTGTACATGATTAAAGACAAGCAAGTATCCCCCATTCCGTCCATGAACTTATGAAAGTGACAATTGTCGAAGATACGATGACTAATGAGCGATCCACGGGCGAGACTGGTCTCCAGGTGGAAACCGCTACAAGCCCGAGACCATTAAACTAATCTTCCACCATCTACACCTGTATTCTCGAACGAGACAAGTCAAACGTTGTTTTCAGACTGTCTTCTCTGTCTGTTTAACAATCTTCGCGGCGGTCTCCTTCTCGAGCTCTTTCTTCTCCTCGGCGATGTCGGCAGGTTGTTCGTCCTTCATGGCCTCGGCCACTTCCATGATTCGCTCGGGAACGGTGTTGATGGATGGTTTCTTCGAGTCCTCGGCGATCAGGACGTTCTTCACTAGCTCCTTGTCATCTTTGGGGTTCTCCACTTCGACAACCAGCTGTGGAGGATCTGGCATTGCGGCGGTTCTTACGTTTTCAGAGTCCTTTTCAGGTTTCTTCTCGGGGTTCTTGTCGGCGTCCTCCACGGATGGAGCGGCCTCTCCGGGCTTTGTTTCCTCTGGGTCGGAGTATGCACAGTCATTCTGATCGGTTTTTACGAAGAACGTTCTAGAGATCTTGTACTTGTCCAGAACTGCGTATGCCTGTAACGAAAAATTGTTATGTTGGAGTCTCGGACGTAAATTAGGTTTGAATTTGGTATTAGCAGTGGTTCAAGTTAAATGTCAGTTGGAAAGTAATTATTTTAATGATACAAAATTCAATTGAAAAGTCTAAAGGCGTTGTTATAGTTTGAAAATCTTACCTTTTGTATGACTGGTCCAGGAGCCAACCTTTCTCTCGTCATCACCCAAGCGTTCTGTGTGTGGAATGGTCCAATACCAGAACAGCTCCACAGGACAGCATAGTTGTCATAGTCTGTTTCTAGAACGTTGTATTTTGTCTCTGGCGTCAAAGGTATCGTGTACTTGACGATCAATTTTCCTTCCTCGGCCTTGGAAGCGGCTTTCTTGATTTCACCGTCTACCACCCTCTTGATGCCAGTGCTAAATATGAAAATAATTAAAAATTACCTATCATCGAGCGATATGAAATGCTTTACTTCAATATTCGATCGTTCACTTTCTGATACAAAATGCAGTCTCGAGGAGTAATTCGTAATGGAGTAACAATACTCACAATCTATTCGTCACTTGGTTGCTGACATGGAATTTACCGCTAGATAGGGTATAGTTCGCCATGACACACCGTGACACTACCTCCGTCAGCTGGAAGTACCTCTCGGCCTCGTACCAAACACCCAGAAACTGCGACAGTAGCAAACACTAATTAACTTAACATTTCAAACAAATACATTTTTCCAAATATAAATTCATACGTAGCACAATTATATGAGACGACGTTAAGTTTGTTAAGGAAGACGAACAAAAAGTTTATTTAACTTTTTCATGCCAAATTCAATTCTCTGTAAGATTTATTTAAACCATTTTTCGAAATTTCGACAAATTACGAATACATATCAGAAAGACCAAGAGACGTATCAATGATAAGTTGTCGATATCAACACCGTACTTACTCTGTTCATGTCGAAGTTCGCCATGGGCACGTAGTCAGGGCAGAATCCCAGGCTGGGTATCTGTGCCCTGGCCAACGCCAGCGCGGAGAGCACCAAAACAATTTTCCCGATCATGTTCGTTGATGATCTGTCGCTAGAATGGTTCGAACTTCTTGTCTTATATACATTACCCGAGGAGTGCAGGTGCGTTGACCGGCCACTACCCCCCTCTGTCTTACCTGCACGTGAGGATCCTTACGGTACTCTCCGGTGGCCCCAGAATCTGGTCGACAGACGACCGTGGTCATTGGTCAATGTTACCGCCGACTTCTTGGCAACCGGGTTCACGGCAGGCCGGTGGACGTCCACTCCATCGAGAAACGGGGAACGCAAGCTCCATTATGCAACTCCTCGTCGACGAACGGTACTTTCGGTCGTTGGGAGACGAATCCCCGTGGTTTGGCGGATTGGTGTCAGTCAATTTGATGGAACGCCAAGATTTCCTGGATATACATGTGGCAATTGTAACGGGGACCCGCATGGGGCTCGAGGACTCTCTTGGGTCGCGGGTTGCGACTTTGGAATCTATTTGATTTCATAAAATGACCCACGTGGTGTAGGAACGTCGATAAGCTACAGGTGGGACGTATATTTTAATTTAATTGAGAATATGTTTGGTGTGGAAGTTAATTTTGTGAATTTCTGAGCTACGCTTGCCATTTATTTATAAAGAAGAACTACATCGAGAGAGTTTAGAATTCGTTTTTAATATTTCAAAAGGAATATAATATATATGAGAAGAAAAATATACATATATATATATCAAACTTATGATACAAAATAGTTGAAAAATATGTGAAATAAGAATGTTGGTACCGGAGTACCCAATGTTAGTTGTGTACTAGAAGATGGCGACGTACGCAACACAAACATCGAATAGTTCGAGCTATGGTTGTTTACATACAGTTCCTCGTAGGCGACTCGATCCTTATCGTCTCGTTCGATTACCGTTACCCAGGTCGACGATTCAAGATCACAGTCTCGTTTGGGACTTTCGTTTGCAACAAGTGGGATTAGAGTGTAGCCAGACCGGTCATCTTGGAATGCACGATTGTGAAACTTACACCTCAGATGACGTTTATTCCTCCTCTTCCTGCAACCATTCATGGAGCCGGTTTTCAGCAACCTCGACCTTTGGCAAGCCTGTATTTATGCTTGCAAACGGAACAGGTAGATGGCAAACGTACCAGAGCCCTCCTCCGGTGCAAAACAAGAACCTACCTATTACTTTATCGCGTTGCAATTATGCAATCGACGCTGTCGTCGGTGTGCTTAGCATACACAGCCGCGCCGAACGTTAAGTCCAACGCTAACGGGTCCCACGACGAGTCCTCTTTTTCTATGAAATCGTTGAAGTCATCGAACCGTTAGTTTCGAGTAGACACCGGTTATACTTTGTTCAGACGGTAAACAGAGAACCGGTACGAAGAATTTGAATAAATTTTTCCACCGCCTCTACGAACAATTCTAAAAGGGAGTAAAGTATTTATTCGATTATTATATTCATTGCGATTTATTCGAGCTTTAGTAGGGTGCTTCACTTATTCTTCTGTAGTTTTTTAATAAGTATAAATAAATATTAAATGTATCTGAAACCAATGTTTAAATTCTTGTTTAAAATAACCCATTACTTTTTTCCAGGTCGAATTCTCAGTCGAGCTCTTCAAGTTCGAATTAAATTTACCCAGAAAGGGAGCGGGGGAAAGGATACTGACACGAGCTCAGGTTCGTCCTCGCTCATTTATCTCCTCTTACACGTTTTGTCGTCTGAATTAATTTATTTCTTGTAAACCTATGAACACTAAGAAAGCACGCGGAGAACGGTCTCCGCTCGGAAATTGCTTAAAATCTACGATACCCCCGACCGGATGTCCAAAGGGGAGGACAACGAAAGACGAGCCACTTTTTGCACCTCGGGAACACGAAATAAAGTTCTGCTCCGATATTGGAAGCCGAAACACGGACAATCCTCGGTCGATTTCGATTCTCTACGCATCTTTGCCTCCGTAAACATTTAATCAGAAACATGTTTTATCCTTTTCTATGTATTGCATGGAGTAAGAAAAATCAGACCTTTCGTACTCGCGGTACCACCTTCCCCTCGAAATATAATCTTCCTTTCTCCACGCGATACATTCTTCTCCGCTCGATTAGTTAGGAGTAATTTTCTATGTATCGCGCGGAGAAAGAAAAATCGGACTCGAACGATTCGGACATTTTCGGACTTCGGTTAGGTCCAATTACTAAGTAAACGTATACTCGACGCTGTTCGTACTCAATTTATTCGTGGTACCATCTACCTCTCGGAGGATAATCTTTCTTTCTCCGCGCGGTACATTCTTCTCCGCTTGATTAGTTGGGAGTAACGAATGAATCGTACGATCGATCTAAAATCATTTATTTTCACAAGTATTTTGTTACGCCTGAGAAAGACGACGTGTCCCGTTTGGACATCTGGACGCGAGCGTGTATGTGTGTGTACGTGTACGGTGTGTATGTCTTCGTGTGTGTACGTGTAATGCATACACGGTAAACGTAACTAACGAACGGTATAATAATCTGTATACGTAACCCTAGTGCACTTACGTCTCGAGAAGGGGGGACGAGAGGGGGTCGGGTAGGGTTCTAGGAGAAGGGGGTTGAAAAGAGAAACGACGAAACGTTGGTTACTAACAATTATTTAGGCGGCCAGCAGATGAAAAGGGATCGTCTGTCGGCGTACCGAGCGAGAGACTAGTTCCTTTTCACTGCGGGTGCCGCAGATTGCGCTCGTGCCGTCGCACGCTAAACAATAATTACTTTATCTTTATTATCATTTAGTATCACATTGCGTTCACTGTTTTGTGCTGGCCGTTTTTTTTTCTGGCTTAACGAGAGCGCACACCACCCCTCCAACCTCTTCTTGCGCTCCCGTCCGCGCGCACGAGGATTCCGTGAATTTCACTTGAAAAGGATCGAGAGACATCCTGCACGATCACTGATTCTTGAAATATTCTTTTTTTATAAAATCCCAGTGAACATAATTTAGATTCACTTGGTGCAGCCTTGCAGCTAATAAACAGCTTGATAATCGAGATGCACCCACATAGAGAACTTAAGGGAGCCGTTATATTTGTTCCAAAATTAATTTGATCGATACCAGTTGCAGAATTGGGCATCACTTGCAGAGGCTGGATGAAAGCTGATCTTTACAATTCAACTTGTACCTTACTTGTCACGTTTGACTGTGACACCTTGAGCTATGGCTCCTTGGTTTCCCACCTCGAGTCTAGCGAATATTTTCGAGGCTATAAATACTCGCTCTTCAGCTATCGCTTCTGCTCGATCGAATTATTCGACTATAGGCGAATTTCCAAAAAAAATTGACCGTTACAGCAAGGGAGCATGTGTAATTGTTGCAACTATATCCCCCAACTTTCATCCATCGGTACGACGTTTGCCCCAGCCTCTGTCTCGTGATATTTGCCCTTTTCCACGAGTTCGTAACACACGTCTGAACCAATTTTGCTATTTCTCTTCGTCAACAGAGCCAGCTCGTTTCATGCTCGAGATTTTCACGCGGACGAGAAGCTAAGAAGAGGTCGAGGCCCTTCTTCAAGGCACCTTAGGTAATAATACCTACCTAAAGAAAAAAAAAAAAAAAAAAAAAAATGAATGAATGATGACGTCCTGCGCCAACGAGAAAGGAATTACAGAGAAACAAAAGCTACTACATACAACGTTCTATCTAGATCCTAACGAAACATGGATTAATTCGAGTGATATTGAAAAACCTTCTACGTGAATTAATTAACGTTTCTTTCAATTCCTAAGCGAGCTCGTATTCGTCATCTTACACGTGTACTTGTACCTTAAGCCTATGAACACATGAAATCACTGCCCAATCGACCAATTTGGACCCATTTGACAAGGCACTCGAGTCGCTGAGATACCAAACATGTCTACGTTGGAAAGAAAAAGAAAGAGAGAAAAAAAATAAAACCGCGCACATAGAAGAGGTGTAAAGGGGAGGGGCGGGGGTTGGTGGTGGTGGAGGCTGAGGTGAAGGTGCGAGGGAAGACGAAAGGAGCGACGATGAAAAGTGGAAGACGAGGGGATCGTACGCGGAAGAACATTAGCAACGTTTCGCTCTACCGAATTCGGCGGAACATTTTCACTTCGAGAGTTACCGTCGCTACCTCCAAATAAATTCGCGTTCCCGTCGATAATGTTCCTCTTCGTAGGATAAAGGAGAGAAACGCCAATGTCTCGTTATCGTCTCGTTAATCCTTGGCCTTCGGAGATATCGAATCCTTCTCCCCAATGCGTTAATTTCGACACCGTTCAGCTCTCGACGAGCGTAATTTGTTCGAGGCGATTTGGCGGGGCAGGACACCTAAGATCTACCTAAAGACAGAGAAATCGATGGAAAAAAAAAGTCGGTTGGTCCCTTTTTGCAAAGTGTAAAATAAATAAATTCTTATCCGTCTGCTTTGTTATTTTTTTTTCCTACGACCTAAACGTAAACGTTATTTACATGTGAGATTTATTTATGGTGCGCGCGCTGAGGTAAACGAGACGTCTTGCTGAATGTCACGTGACGCTGAACGAAAGCGCTGAAAAGCTTGTTTTCCTTGTCGTCGATAAGTAAGACGCAACGAGACGATGACTTTTTCCAATCGTTCAAATTACTTGTACATTCTTCGCAACCACTCTCGTTTCGACTTCCTTAACGATTACTGATAGAGTGACCGTCAACATAACCGACACACTTCCGACTGACGTCGATTGGCGGAAATATGTTATTTGGTCAGAATTACTGGTCATCGCTTATTATAATAAACTGGTAGTCGGTCGTTGGAACGTCCTAGGGCGACATAGTGCTCCAGGAGTCGACGAAACGACGGAACGCTTCTGTTAAAGGCTCTTCCCCGTGCCACGCGCTGTTCCATCCGCAAAAAACGCGTTCCACCCCTTCCGCGACGACTGGTCCCCCTCTGTCCGTTCGTGAAATTTCGTTAGAAACTTTCGAATCGCGCGCGTTTGAAGCAACAGCGGACGTTGCCTGCGTCCTCGGAAGACTCGAAAACGTCCGACGTCCCTCGAGACGGTAAAACAGTTCTCGAGTTGCCGTGGAAATTTACGAAAATAATCGCAGACAACCGTCCGATAGCGTCCCGGCGTGCTCGAGATCAATGTGTCCGGACGATTTTTCCTATTAAAAGCAGCGAAAACGAATGCTGGATCTAAACGCGCAAATACTGAAAATGGCTCGCGTCGCGATACAAAAATTTGGCGAAGGCACTCGTACTTTCTGGACACTCGGTGGGGAGGGGGTGGGTGGGGATCGTTCGCGTTTTCGGGGATGCTCGGGCACCGAGTCGGCCTTAACCTTGTCGCTAATCGTGCAGATTCTTGCTGAGCAGCAGGTTGTTGTGCGGTCCCGACAAATGCCTGATGAGCTCCTGCAGGCTATCGAAGCTCAACGAACAGAAGCAACACGTGAAGGTATTGTCGGGGGCGGCTATCACCCCTCTGTGGACCGAGCACAGGTGCTTCAGCAGGTGGGCCTTTTGCTTGAACATGGCGACGCAAAGTCTACACGCGAACGGTTTCTCGCCCGTGTGCACTCGCAGATGCGTTTTCAAGTTCCATGACATTCCGAACTGTTTGCCACAATAACTGCACCGGTACTCGCGAACGGGGGTGGACTTGGGCGGATCGTCCGTCGGTGGAGGCGGCGGGGCCCTGGCCGGTGGCAGGGCCCAAGAGCCCCAGGGTGGCTCCAAGCCGGCTGCCGACGCTGGATCCGCGCTGGGGGGACGGTGAGAGGCTCCTGGGGGTGTCACCGACCTGTCCTGCTGCAGAAAAGGAGATTTACGATTAGGTAGGAATAATAGAGTGTTTGAGTTTCGAATTATTGAGATTAAGGAATATTTCAAATGACCTCTGAAATAACCTATGTGTTGGGCCACCGTGATACTAGTGGTAGTCCCAAAGGAGCAAAAAATGGTATCATTTAATTAATCAAAAATAGCAACAGTCTAGAAAAAAAAAAAAAAAACAAAAAGAATAAGGTAAATGTTATGCGCCTCAATTTGTATAAAGAACCATCAACTTCAAAGTTGAATTCTCATTAAAATGAAACAATGTATCGTTTAATAGATAAACGATTTCCCGATTACCATCGTTAATTCGTTTATCATCTGCTAGAAAATGTAAAGCAAGTGATCGCCGAGGTAGGATTGATAGTTAGTGACATTTAGTATCTGTTTGGTATCCGAGTTAACAACAACATCGTATCTCCGGCTCGTTACACGGTAATGTGCGCGTATTTTTATCGCAGCATTTGCCTTTTTCCTGTGTTTGTTACGCAATGAGAATGTTATCGCTATTAATACTGCCAAGAGGAATCATATTTATATATCGTACCAGGTACGGTGGTGCCGAGACGCTGAGGGGATGCGGCGCTTGCAATCGCCTCGGCGTCTCGAATCCAGGATTAAATGGTACGAAAGCCGGATTCTGTGCAGGTGCATTGTGAAAGCCTGGCCTTCGTTTCCTATGAGGCGTTACAACGTACGCCTCCGCAGGTGGGATAGGTATTTCCTCCGGTTTCCGTTTTCCAGGTTCCAAGCTCAGCGCGAGCCGAGCCGCCAATTGCCTTCTTCTCTCCTCCGCCTCCTCCAGAGACTCTCGCCTCTCCAGCAGTTGTTTCTCTTGCCTGGGCAAACGACAACGTGTCAAATTCGTCGGCATTGTTATTCGAGTGTTTGATAGTCGAAGATTGATTTTTAATTTGTATTCAAATTGAATTATATTCACCATCTACTTCCATCCCTCTACAAACCGAACCCAAACAAATTATTCTACAACACCACAACCAGACCATTCTTTCCCATAACCAGTATCTGAACCTCTCAAATAAATCTCGTGTTTTGGATCTGATTTACATTTACGTATTACCTAAAAATTATCATATCTCCGTATTAATTAATACCTAGGGACGATGTCGTGGGAACTTTCGCTGGTAGTGGAAGTCCCAGAATTTAGACTGAGGTTCACAGGATCGGAGCTATCCCTCCTTCGGGGCGGTTCTATACTGCTTTCCCTGTTCTCCGTGAGTAGCGCCTCCCCCTCGATGCCCTCCACGTCCACTTCCGGTTCCTCCTCGCAGCCCTCGGTCTTGATGAGAACCGAGCAACAGTCCGCGGGATTGTTCGACTGCCTGAAATATCAGGAGCGCACACTACAGACCCACATGTATTCCTTCGCCGTTAAATTGACGGCAATTTTCGAATTATCCCAGCACGATATCACCCTCGTTCATCTGGGAACGCGACCATAAATGTCGAAAGTAGGCGACCAAAGGCGCGAACCAATGACATTACGCGAACCGATAGCTTGCATAAGCGCGGCGTTCTCTGCTGGAGCAATGATCAAAACGAAATGCAGAAATTAATCTCGATAGTTCCCTATCGCGGAGATTATGGTGTACGTTACGCTGATCATTTTGACATATCACGAACGCTTTAACGCCGATCGCACTACCAACCTGCCGTCGTATTGCGACTCGTAGCTCGAGCTTTCCTGGCCCTCCGAGGGCTGAGGGGTGGGTATTCTCTCGGGGTCGGAATTGCTAGAGGTTTGAGGTTGGTTGGGCTCGAACAGCTCCGACTTGATTTGAAGAAGCTCGAACAGCTCCCTCAGCGGCGTGAGTTCCGTCGACTGAAACGAAACGTTGCTTTTGATGGGAAATTCTCGGAATGGAAGAAGCTTTCAGCAATCGATGAGCTTTAGTGCAAGAGATGGTCGTCCACAAAAATGAAGGTATTCTAGGAAACGAGAAAAAGTTTCTTCTTCTTTCAATTGATATTTATAATTATATCATTGATATTTTTTTATTTCTTATTCGTTACTTAATTAATATTTTGTTCTTGTTCTAGGTCATTTTTAACCCAGAATTGGCTAAAACTGGGGATGACAGACTTCCTCGATAGAGTTTTTACAAAGCAATGAAATAAAACTATGATATTAGAACAGGTTGTCTCCAGGAATGAATATCAACTAGCGAGATGCTTTCTAACCGAGAAGTAGCCGAATGTTATGACTTATTTTTCCACTAATGGTTCCAATGACTCGTTTACCGGTATAAGTGCTTCTCCATTATAGAGAAATTCCAGCAGGTGAGTTAGCTGGGTTTTTCGGACCCCCGACAGGTGGACCACGTGATCCAGGGCGGGGTTACGAAGGAGACCAGCCAATAGAGGACTAGCTGCTGCCAAAACTACGCGATGGGCCTTGACGACGGAACCATCGTCGCAAGCCAACGTCACGTCCACGTGACGGTCCCCGGTGTACCAGGCTCCGACTTCTGCGGCCAAGGTCGCTGGATGCTTCCCATAATGGAGTGTTAGGAGACCGTCAGTATACATCGTCTGCAAAACGAAAGAAAAACAGAAATTACAAAAAAAAAAAAAAAAATATTTAGTCGGTATCATCAGGGATGTATGAAATTTGAAACAGATGGAATTTGAAACATGGAAATCGAGCGAAGGAGTTGCACACTTTGAGATAACGTGAAATCAATTATAAGAGAAACTGTTAGTACCTTGTGTTATATAATCACGAAGACTGTAAGTGGACTGGAAATCTCAAACAGCGTTAGTCATTCGACAAAAATTTTATACTGCACGACCAACGCTGTCTAACGTTGACTAATTAACTAATTCTTCAAAGTATGCAACTTCGTTTCACGTCTTTTCTATAGATCTAAAATTGTCAGCGTTTTCTTGAAGATGACCAATTGTATTCGATTTTCTTTTTTTTTTTTTTTTTTTAAATTGATCTCACAGCGATTGCTCATACCTCTACACGCGATTCGTTACGGAATGTGGAAACGAAATGAGAAAATAATAGAAGCAGCCTATATACAGCGATAATATGCAGCAACGTGGAGCCAAGATACAATTTCCATGGAAATTCTTTCGTAATAACGAAATAAACGAAAGACGTGTGACGTCCTTAACCCAATAATGCGTTCTTCTCGGTTCGCGTCATGCAAAGGCAGAGCTTCGTTAGACTAATTTCATCCTTCCGTGCCCCGCCTCTCTTAGAAACGGCGGAAGGCGGTGACGTGTCGCAAGATTATGTTTCTCACGTTTCTCTGACATTCGCTTAGCTTTCTGCTAAGGAATTGTGTTTGATGAGAGCTCATTTATGTAATTAAGCACCGAAGCTGTGCTCATTCTTCGAATACGGTACATTAGAATTAAGACCGATGGTCGACGATCGTTCTCGATCTTAGAATGCCTTGAGACGAAGGTATTTCTGAAAGTGGAGACGTCGAAGTTGAAATTATTTTTAAAAACAGGCTAATTGAAATTGATATTATTGTTGAAAATAAAGATGTCCACCCACGCAAGTGTAATAACACATCTTCGAAGTAACTCCTCACAAAAGTCCCATGAGATAAAACAACCAGCAATCATTTTCGAATGAAACTATGCGCTTCGTCGAAGGAGCTCAAGGTAATAGCTGCGACGCTTCGAATTCAGCTGTTACTCGAACAAATAGAATTTTATCTTTCTGGGAATAGAAATCAACATTGCCTACCCGCCGAGATAATTACTCGCGAGTAACCGTGCATCGATAAACATAATAGAATCTCATCTGGGACGCGGCAACGTAACGAACCACTCGCGTTCTCGCTGATTAATGATCGAGAGGGGAAATCCTGCAGATCTCGAGAAACTTCCTGTTAAAGAAGTAACGCCGAGGAGCACAGCTCGCAACGAAATGTTACCATGATTCACGTAACCGCGGTGCAATTTAATTCGCGATTAGAAAATAACGCGGCAACTCAGTCGTGGAATAAGTCGCGCATTCGCTCGGTGCGTCGTAACAAATTATACATTACGCGTTCTGCATTATGATTTATTTATAATGAATCCACCGCGCATGTCGATTACGGACGTGACGCAACCACGCGCGGAGGGGAAGCTTTCAGAAGTTATTTTAATAAATCTGGCATTTCGTGGCGCGAGCCATCGTGGATCGAACCGCCGTCGATCGTGCATTTCTTCGTTTCACGAGGCAAGCCACTGGGAGAGAAAGTTTCGTTTCACGTTGTACTCCCGAGGACCAGAAGTATAATTAACATTATGAAACCAATGCCATAAGCATCGACGCGTTCCGCAATGTCAAACGTGTCCCAGGCACAATGGAGTTTCACGCTTGGGACTCGAGAACGCGAGCGAAACTTTCGTTCCTTTTCCTTGTACTGGCTCGAGACTAGGGCTGGGTTTCTTGGAGTTACTCATTGTTCGAATAGACAAGTATTCGAATAAATCTGTTTGAATGAACAGAAATGTGATTAGTAATAGTCAAACGATAGCATTCTATTACTCGAGTATTCGAGTGACGATATTCGAGTACTCAAATATTTGAATAATTGTATTTGGATACAAGTAGCTCACAGTGGTACTCGAGTAATGATATTCAAATACATTGCTTTAATCAAGTATTACATTGTGGTATTCGAATACCGATACTTGGATGCTCAAATTACAATTCATGTTCGGATGCCCATACAACATTTGAATATCAAATTAGATGAATAGTCCCAATGTTAGTCAGATGAAGAGTGATCAGAAATCACTGTCGCCATGCCGTCCACGCGTGGTATCGGTTCGGTACAAGAACTCGTCAAACGAATACTCATCGGCGTGACCTTCGATGAGTGATTCGATCGAATTGGAAAGGCAAGGCCTTGGGTAAGAGTCACGAAGAGGACGCGAATTCCATCCATCTAAGCAATCGAGGCTCACGTACGTTACTTTCTTCATTGCGATCCATGTCACAGGTACGTACGTGGCAACGTTCTTGTATCTTAGTCCAATATTAACATTGTTTATGGTCTGCTGACAAGTTTCATAAGCGAGAATGTTATCTATTCGAATCAATTCATAAATGGAGCTCCCTGTCTAATGGGAAACATCCTTCTTATCGTGTCTGCGTGAAACTGGAAACATATATGTAAATGGTATGTAGAAAGTACAAGAAAATGATCAATGATCATATTAAGGGCATTATACGCTCGAAGGACGTATCTGCATGAAGTCAGCTTCATAGGAAATGACGTAAACCTTTCACAAACTGCTAAAGAGAATCTACCATCACTTTATCTCTGTTCAACGTCAGTAGGAAGTTGAAGGAACTCTAATTAACACATTCAAGATAGGTAAACACACAATGAGCGTAAAAACCGCAATTCAGAGTATTTGCACTCCCTTCTTGCGCACGATACGATGATCCCATCTCCTAATGAAATGGAGTCTTAACCAATAAATCCTAGATACGTGAAGGACCCAATCAGTTAAATGTTTCGAAATCCAGGAAAATTCTTGGAAACCCACGGAGCATAAGTTAATCGCGTTACTTCTCAAAAGAAATGAAAAAGAAAGGCTCGAGCGAAGGAGGAAAGGGGGGCATGATCATTGGACGAGAATTACGGCACGACGGCGATCACGGGGCATTACTCGATCGCGTACGTAATATCGCCGCTTGCTAAGAAAATCGCTGAATAAGGAAATCGTTGCTGATACGTCTGCATCGGTGCTGTAGCTGTTAACAAACACGGCTTAGCGAAGTTCAAGGTCAATCGCTGGCCGACCGACTGCATTACGTCCGCGCTTACGCTTACGTTCGTCTTTCTTCTTCTATTTGGGCCTTGAAGACCTGCCGGGCGGGGTCTCGCGTGTAGTGGGAGCAAGGCTTCGCATCGATAAGTATAGAAACTGGCCCACTTGCGCGCTGAACGTGGAGGGGCAACCGAGGGGCACCGTAACTCGCGGGCCCTGTTCTGTCCCGCCATCGTCGTGTCAGTTCGAAACTCGCGGCACCCCGTCGGTAAACCTCGACGAATGCCTGCCTTAACGATCGCTGGTCAACGTAAATCCACAGCGTCGGCGCTGTAAGCGGCGAATTCGAACGTTTCGAACTGCAAAATGCGAGCGGGCTCGGCTTACTTCTGAAAGTACTGGTTATTAAGATTGCGTTACAGTGGCAGCCACCATGTTTGTGGAATCGGCGGAGATGGATACATCGAATAAAGAGAAAGAGTTAGAAATATTGGGCATCCATAAGGTGGACCGCAGTTTACCAAAATATTTTCGGTTCTTACCCGACAAAGGGAAATTCGGAAAGGAGAACGACAGGCATGGCATTTGCGGCAGGAACGAGGGAGACGATGCACAATGGGAATTGGTGCAACGAGTTCGCGAGGAGATAAGATAAGATAAGAGGAGAAAGTCGGTGGAATTCGTAAATTTTGTTGCGCGAACTCCCCGTGCCCGCGAACGACGATTCGCTTATCGTCGCGGCATACTAAGCACTTTTACGTGTGTATGCCTGTGTGCGCTCGCACTTTCGGTTTGTCACGATCGGTGCACGTACACGGGAGGAGGGTGGTGGGGGGGGGGGGGGCATCCCCCCTACACCGGAGCAGCCTCGGTGCAACGATGCGCAGTACCATGCACACGCGAGCATTATAATCTTCTATCCGGATGGCGGACGTTACGATCTACCATTGAATCGAACAATGGCGAAACTGGGTTACGCAAATGTCGAGGCTGGAAATTAAAGCGCGAGACACCAGGGGCGGGGAGGGGGGGGAGGGGAGGGGCCGCGGCTCGTCGGGGTCGAGTGGTGAAAAAGATTCGCGCACAGAGAGCAAAAAACCGAGGCCTCAAACGGAGAAAACGGCCGTCGATGGGACAATATCGGCCGCGTTGAGAACGGATTAGTCATTGGTCTTTACAGGACACTGTTTTTATTCGAGACGGCTTCACAATGGGAACTCTATTACGTCTCGTTTCCGTACGTTTCGGGGACACTTTTGGGATATTTGGTTGCAACGAAGTGGGTTAAAATGAAAAACATTTAAATATACAACTATTTAAATACTATTCTAACAGTCTGCCATTGAAATGCTTGGCTCTTCGAATATTGACGACGTGTCTAGATATCTGTAGTCGGCAATAATGTGAAGTAATGCTAAATGTTAAATAAGTGAAAGCAGAATTTTATACAAGTCATTAGTAAGATGTTGACACTGTTCTTCTGTGTAACTTGAGTTTCATTTTCCTCTTAAATCGTGTGGCTCGAAGTGTCAATATATTTAAGAGAGCGAGGAGTACCTTGTGACGTCTATATTGACCTGTTAATAATCATTTAATTACTATCAGATTTGTCGACAATACTATTCATATGTATAGAAAATCATATAAAGTGTACTCTTGTACTGTTCAAGAAGCAGTTGGAAATTTAATTACCGCTTAATATACACAGTGGTAAATTGAACAATTTCGAAAGTTTGAAAAATGCTCCGATATGCAATTAAATATTCGTAACGGTTAGAACATACCTAAGCTTCGATGAAATCTGTAACAGTTGCTCTATAATTAGTCCGATTTGTCATGGAATGACCCATAGACGGAATGCGTCACGATGATTTACCGATAACAAACGGACACGTCGAACGAAACAATCGAGGCGTTATCGTACCAGCGGTTACTTTCGTTCCGACGATTAAATAACGACCGAAGAAACAGCGTTACGTCGAGGTCGTTGAAAACTATTTCGCTGGAAAGCGAAACGCGACGAACCCCGTCGACGGAGTATCGTTGGAACGAGTCGACGAACGTCCACGCTCCAGTGGCGTTCAACGATTAACCCTAGGGATAATAGATGAGGAAGGGAGAGAGGGAATCCTCCAATCCACGAATCAAAAAATCTGAAATCTATTGGGATTATCTATTTATTTAACAAGTGAAATAGTATTTATTGCCTCTTGTGGTCTTTACATTGAAGTATTCATTTAGTCCCTAAAATTAAAATTTGTATCTTACGATTCAGGAAAACGATGTACCCACTTGGTGTTTATCGCGAATCGAGCAGATCGTGACGGCGCGGATTAAGGCGAGGCGGTTCAAATCGTTCGAGCTGAAGAGGATTGAGCAACGCGAAGAGAACTCGTTACGAGGCCTGTAATGGGGTCCGTGCGTTTCCGCTCCATTTTTTGTGGGCCCAATTACGTTTCGCCAGCCTCAATAGGCCGTGTTTCGCGGTCTCATCGGGCCTCTCGCGTGTACATACATTCCACCCTCCGGAACCTCGAAAAGCACTCGCTCGGAACAGCGTGGAGCTTCACGGGAGAGGCTACGCGACGCCTCACCGCAAACTCCCATCAGCTTGAAAGAAATTCCGGCGTCGCTGCCAGCCGTGGCTCCTCGGCAACTGGACCATATCGGGTAAACGATAAAATGGTGCTTATAGTTCGAATACTTTTTCTATTTTAAAATGTTCAATAAACTATACACTTTAAATTTACTTCGATTTCCATGGCTGAACTGGAATTTCCAGAACCGATTGACAATGGAGTTGAAATCGAGCGACATTCACTCCAGGTTAGAAAAAGCTTCGTGGCTCGTTAATTTCTCGTGAAGCGGACACCGGTGTTTCATATTTTCGAAACGAAAACGCGTAACTCGAGGGCAGGGTTATGACACCCCGCGAAACCTGTGACTCACACCTTTCCCCGATTTCGAATCGCTATTTTCCACCTGGTCTCTCACGCTCTCCCGGCTGCGCGTCGCTCCGTCGACTGTGACGTACTCTCTCCCGTCGTTCTTTCTCTGTCCCTCCCCTACATTTTCCTCGTACCTCTCGGTTTCCCCGGTTTTCAGCGACCAGTTACGAAAATTCCG